ACCCTGTGCCCCTGCTCTGGGTGTCCCTGCTGGAGCAGGGGTTGGACTGGATGGTCTGTAGAGGCCCCTTCCAACCTCGACCATTCTGGGATTCTGTGATTTTGTGACACACCAGCCTCCCTTTGGGCACCCTAGGGACATCCCTCATGGTCCCAGTGTCCCTCCAAGGGGACAGAGGCCTCCTTTGGGCCGCCCTTGCACCAAGGGGACCCTTTCTCCTTGGGCAGGTGCCCCTTGGGGACACCGAGACCAGAGGGTCTTGTGAGTCCCACCAAAGCGGTGGCCACTCTCTTCCCAGTTGTTCCCCAGCGCTTCCCAAGCTGTGGGGAATCGATGGCCTCAGTGCCATGTCCGAAGGGCTTGGGGCAACTGGTCCATGGCGAGGGGCTCAGCCACGGCCGTAGCCACATGGGGCTTTTTCTCCTGAGCTCTTCCTTGCCGGGAGCCGCCGGAGAGCAAGGGGTTTTCTCCACGGGTACGGGAAGAATGAGCTTCTATCCGGCCTCTTATCACACCACAATAGCAGTTTTCAGCCTCCGGCCCTTGGAGCCCGTGGGACTTGCAGAGGATCTGTGGAAGAACGCTAAGAAAAGCGGCTCTGTTGCCAGCAGGCTTTGCTTCACTGATGAAAAGTGCATCATTCTGGGGAAAAAAAAAAAAAAAAAAAGGTATCTTTATAGATGCCCTGCTTTTCCCACATTTAAGAGCAAGACTGATACAGGAACTGCAAGTTAGAGCTATCAGACATCACCTGTAGATCCTCAGTGCATGCAGATACAAATCACAAATGGCTGGAAACTTCATACCAAACATGAATAATCTTGCTTAAAAACGTCATTGCATTTTCATGAAGAATTGGAAGATGAGAATTGACTTGTTGGTGCTTAAAGAGAAGCGATGGGGAGCACCAGGCTGTGGGCAGTGTCGGAGGTGAAATCTTGGGGCTGACATAGTGCTCTGCAACGGGCTGCAAAGTGAAAACCACATGGAAATGACTGAAGCAAATGGGAGCCAGAGGAGGAACGTGAGCTGTGTAGCTGGTCCTCCAAGACACTGTGCAGGAGAACTGTCCTTGAGGAAGATCTAAGAGGCTTGAATAGCAGCAGCCGTGAGCTGCCAGACAAGCAGACGGCGTGAGAAGGAAAAGTGAGATTTTTAGGTGGGATGGAAAGGCTGCAGCGCAGTGATGGGTCTGTGCACCATGAGCAGGCGAAGGGAGAGGTTCCTGGAAAGTTTTCCTTGTTTTTTAGGGAGTTACAGGTGTCCGTGTAGTAGCTGTGCCTGCCTCAAAGATGTTGGGAAGAATAGGACCGAAGCGGCCGCCTGTCCTCACCATAAAAACCACTGGGGTTTTAACTGACACCCTGATGGTCACCATGCACAGGGACACCGAGGTGCCTTGTCCTTGGAGGCTGTCCCTGAAGTAAAGCTCTTCCCTGCTTTCCTCACCCTCTCCATGGAGATGGTTTTCAGGGATCATTTCAGGGATCAGCAACATAATGTCCTTGCTGAGCTCTGCGCATCGGTGGCCTTTAACTATGCACTTTAACTAGTAAATAGACAAAAGAACACAGTAATCTCTACAGTTACTTGTAGAAAATATTTTTGAAGACTAAGATTAGATAAGTGCCAATATTAAGTCACTGGAGGCTGTTGTCAAGTCAAGAAAGCCTTCTTGGAAATGTTTTTTACTCCATTAGCTTATAGAAGCCTTGGTAATGACTGTATTAACACTGTTCTTAGATTTCAGGTTTCAAAATTGTCGCTGATTATTAGTTTCTGAAGAATTTTAAAGCCTCCAGTAACCTTTTTTTTTCCTATGAACATCGTTGTTTCCAAGTGTAAATTACTGGAATTATACACGTGGCATCGTGAAAGTGCCTATATGCCTATAATAGGCTGAAACAGTTGGCTTGAGACAATCTATACGTTAAGTGTTGTTAATTAGGATAAGAACAAGAAGGGATTCACATGCAATAATGTAGCTGGAAAAGGAGCCTGAGGAAGAGTAAATGCAGTCAGAATAACTCCAGGGAAGAATATTCCATGGCCTATGGATAAGGCTGACAGTGGCTTTTGCTCTAGTGCTGTTTTTGCTCTGTGTTAATAAAATCCAATGTAATGAAGGGCTCAGCTGGACTTTTATACCATGGGGGACACGTTGGTAGGGTTGATTGAGAATTGCCAGTCCTTGCTCTTAATAAATCCCACTCGAGTTCTTGTTTCACGTTTCATCGCGTGTGGATTTGGGTGTTTTGCAGCATTCACTTACATGTAGTGTTGTACTCTGTGGACACTCCTGTCTTGCTGTTTAGGGGGGTTATTTCTGATTTTGCAGCAACAAAGACAGCTAAATATACTATTTAGATGGCGTATCTCTTCTTGGGCCATGGCCCTGCAACCTTTGCGGAGCCCAAAGCTACTCCCTTACTCATGACAACAGGACAACTGAAAACACCGAATTCCTAATACTGTGAATGTGTTCAGGCAGCTTTGGAAACCCATCTGGTTTAGAGGGAAATGCTGAATATTCCACCGTACATCTGCCTTCATCAGGCCTCAAGCATTTTCGAGCGTAGGATTACGGGATTTGCAAATGCACCTGGCCTTGCATGACCTGCAGGCCCTTGCTCTGATGCTTGTGGCTGGAACCTGGAATCCCTGCTCTGTGTTACATAAAATCCTCTGTTACGGGTGCTGACAGCTCAAAGCGACTTCAAATGTAATCGGTATGGCTTCATAAACCATTACTTATGAAGCAGAAAAGTAATTGGAAATAGTTTGAAGAAGTCCTTTTGATCTTTAGGATCTACCCTCTATAGGGGAAGAAAAATCTTTGTGAAAAAGGAAGTTATGGGTGGTGAAATGTGCTTTTTTAAAAAGTTTTTTTCTCACATTTTTTATCAGAGAGGGGGTAGGAAGGTCAAGTGCTTTCAAATACATGTGAACAGAAAATGTTGGCTTTTCAGCTTTGAGCTACAGGTCTTGGAGCATCAAAAGAATGGGTTTTGCTACAGCTCGGGGCATTAACTTGCTGAAAGTAAGGACACCTGGGGGGACCTTTTCCCAGGGGTTTTCTAGAGTGCACATTTTTTCATGCCGTCCCTGCAGGCGCTTGGGAGGTGACCCACAGTGTGGGGCTACCAGCAGGGCAAGACAGGGCACTGATTTTCCTGCTTTTTGCAGGAAAAAAAGCAGGGTGGGCCATTTTGCACTTTTTTTTTTTTTCCATGATCTCTGCATCATCCGGACACATTAGTGCCTGAAATAAAATCACAGGTACTTGTGCAATGCTGGGGGCTGGCGCGTGTTTCTGGGTGCCCCAAGTTAGTGGTAGCCAGAGAAACCTGCTCAGCTGCTTCCCCCTGTTGCTCTTTTTCCCTCATCCTCCTTGTGATCCCTCATCTGCTCCAATTCATGGCAGGAAACTGCTGTTTTGCTTTGGAGAAAGTGGAATCAGACCACAATTGTACATTAAATATTGATATAATACATTGTGACTTGAAATATTTGTTCTTAACCAGAATGAACAGCAATCGTATTGCTACTTCACGCTGTTTGGTCATAGTCGTGAAGCCATCTAAGGTTTTACTTTTGGCAACATTTGCAAAAATATTATGAGGAGGATTAAGTATGAAACTAAAGTACAAAAGATAATGACAGATTCCTCATTTCTTGATGACTGGAAATGAAGAGTGGATGTTTTTCTGGGAGATATATTTATACACAAATTACTAGGTTACAGCCATCGTAACTGGATGAAATGCTGTGTTTAGATTAGATGGCCTGGAAGTTCCTTCTGTCTTTGAGCTCCACAGTTTCAGCCAGGTTTGCCCATCACTGTTAGTCAATAATCAAGCAAGCAGCATGCGAAAGGGGGGAAAAAAAAAAAAAAGACTGGTGTGGTGGTGCTATAGATATTTGCTGATTTTAATACAATATTTTTCTCGTTTTATTTCCAGGTTGCATGCCAGATGTTAGAGCTGGGCTGTCGGATGCTTTTGTGATGTTTCACTTTTCATATACTGGATAATAATTTTCCTCCTGTCATTACCAGGTCACCAGGTAGAAGTGGAATCAAATTGCCCTTTGATCTCTGGCTGCAAGGTTTCATCTGCCTCCAGTATTAAGACTCATCATTTTTTTCAAGCACCAAAACAATCCTCATCCAGAAACCAGTATTTAAAAGAATCTCTTGCATCTGAATCTGTTGGTACCAGCCCATAAGTGAGTATATTGCGATCCCAGAGATGAAGATACTGCTTTCCCAAGGGTGAATGGTTCTTATCAGTGACATCTACACAGATGTTCTGTTTATTTCCATATTGAGCTATTTTACTTGCCATTTTCACAATTTTGCCCTTTTCAGCATCAGCCTGTCAATCTACCTCCTTGAAACCAGTGCTCAGGGCTCGTGCCCTCCTCTCTCATGGGACTGATCTTTGCAAGCTGCTCCCTTATTCCTCCCCTGAAGTCCTTGGCCATCGTTCTGTGGAGGTGAAGGAGGGAAGCATGATCACTTCTTTTTGCCATATAGGAGGTGGCTCTTGCCCTGCGGGGTTAGGTGAGAAAACGCTCCTTTTTACCCACACACAAGGTCACAGGAGCAGCTACAGGTGGGAGAACCCAAGTAGCACCTGGAGGGGCCCCAAAAACCCAACCAGACACCCCACAACCCCAGCACCTGGTCAGTGGGTGAGAGCTGTGGGCCGTGGTCACGCGGGGGTGTTTATGTGTGGGTTGTGCACGTGTGGATTGTGCACGGCTGTGGGGAAGCCTGTCCATGCAGGAGCCAGTGTGGGAGGAAACTGGGAGCACCCCTGAAAATCTGTGCCTTGGGTGAAGCTTCCAGGGAGCACCCGGGGTTGGGGGCACCAACATGTGTGAGGCTCAGGAGTTGTCACCTCCAGTTTTCTGCTCCTTTAGAGAGGGAAAAATCTCTGAAGTCTGTTGTTTCGTAGGGCGAGAAAACTGCTCTGGTTTGCTTCTTCCAGAATAGGGACAATTCAGGGGATATTGACTTCTTAGAGCCCATGTGGTTAGGAGGAAGGGCGAGCTCTTTGGAGAAACACTCAGCTTGACTTCTACATCTGTGGGGCCAAGACCGCATGTAGCAGGTACCTGAGGAGCTGCTGACGAGGAACTCCA